TTACACTCAGACCCTTTGAAGTTTGCAAACATATATTATTTAAATCTCTTAATTTTAAAATGTTATATTTAGACTAAAAAAATTTCAATCAAAGATAAAATAATAAATATTTTAAATTTTATAATTAAAATTTATGTTATGTTGTATCATTTATTGAAATAAAATCAAAAATAAAAATTTATTTTTTTCTTAAAAATTGTAATTAGTGTACAATTATATTGTCTATTAGAATTTAATTTGGTCATTTAAATGAACAAATTAAAATACTAAACTACCCGAATTAAAGATAAAAGATTTTGTGTTAATTACAGTTTGACCACTTGTTTAATTTTTTAGTTTTATTTTAATAGATAGTATAATTATATAAAAGCTATGATTTTTTGAAAAAATTAGTTTTTTATTTTTTATTTTATTTCAATAAATAGCATAATATAACATGAATTTTGGATGTAAAATTCATGTTTTATTATGAATGACTTAGACCCATTGTTTTTATTTTTTTCGTTTTATTCCAATAGATAGTATAATTGTATACAATTGAACATGATACAATTGAACATGAATTTTGGTTGTAAAATTAAAATATTTGATATTCTATCTTTGATTGAAGTATTTTTGGTCTAAGTAAAATATTTTAAACTTAAGGGATCTAAGTATTATATACCTACAAACTTTAGAGGATTTAAGTGTAATTTATTAATTAATATATTTACAGCATAGGTGTAAGTGTTACGCGCGTATGTGTGTAATATGTTAAATATCAAGAGGTCTGAGTGATTAAATAACAAATCTCAGGGGGTCTGGATGTAATTCTCCCAAAATTTAAATCTATAAAAATTAAGTCCAATAAAAAACTCAACTAAAATTTCAACCAACAAAAAGGGGTCTGGATGTAATTCTTCCAATATTTAAATCTATAAAATTAAGTTCTACAAAAACTCAACTAAAATTTCAACCAACAAAAAATTTTAGTTAAATGATTTGGGCCAAAAGTCTAGTCTAATAACACACAAAATTAAATCTAGCAAAAAAACAATATAATTGAAAATGTATAAAAAGTAGTGTATATTAGATATTACTAATCATTCTGTCTCTCACATACACACGCGCTCTCACTCTAGCTATATTTTTGTTCTTATTTAAAATTGAAACACAAATCAAGGTATTTATTTTTATCCTTTCTCCCTTTTAATTCTCTCTCCCTTTTAATCCTACTTTTTATTTTTTTATCTATTATGAGTGCAATATTTTTAAAATAACTAAAGACATAAAATATTAATCTACTCATCGGTAAGAAACTCGCAAAGACTATAATTTTTGCGAGATACAAATACTTTAATCCTTTGGATGGGTGGAGGCACAATAGGGTTGACCCTAAGGCTCGACTATTAAAATAATCGCATAATGCCCCAAAAATTTAAAATCCCAATATAATTTTTGGCCCGTAGTTCAGTTTCATGTTCTAAGACTATTTTGAATGAACTAAATTACAGACCCAATGAATTTTACAACTCTATGTAAAACCTTATAAATGACCCTAAAATATAATAACACTAGTAGTCGGCCCCGTATGGTGCACGAGATTATAATTCCTGTTTCTTTAATTTTTTATTTTATTGCATGAGAAGTTAAATAAATAATTATATTTAAGTTTTTGGGTGATAAAAATTGAATTTTTGAAAAATTTTAAAAATTAATAGTTAGTTATTGAAATTAGTGGATAGTTACTAATGACACATGTCAGGGTCTGATTGGAGGGAGCCCTAAGTTTTGAATTAAAAAATTCTAAATTTTAAGAAAAAAAGGAAAGTGGGAGGGAAAGCTTTTTAAGCCACCTTCCACCTAATTTGATTGTTATATATATATATTTTATAGAAAGCTCTAAAATATAAGGTCTTCTAAACAAATTGATTTTTAGTGTTATAAATAACACCCTTTCTGAAATTTCTTTCACACACTTTTTCTCCACTCTCACCCCCTCTCCAAGTCTTTATCTCTCTGCCACTTTAATTGTCTTACTGTGACTCCTTATCCCTATCTATAACTCTTTTACTATCTCTTTAAATAAAATCAGGACTTCATAATTGTACTTAATTGATTGTCTAATCTTATTCAATCCCAAAATCACTAAAATGTTAGAACTAAATTACATCGAAATTCTCTATAAAATGTTTAGTAATCATGAATTTTTTTTATAATTTTTTTAAAACACTGATTAGAGTTTTATGTAAAATTCTCTTTTTAAGTCCTAATTAATGATGGAATGCCCTGAGTGAGATTACATCATAATCATCGTCGGGTCAAGGCTTGCATCAAAAAGTTTCCTTCCTTCCAAACGAGTCGCAAGAAACCGAAACTAATGATGGTAGATCTTCTTCATCTAGCAAATCAAGCCTGAGACAAACGAGTGCTCCATTTGTGGCCTCAAGTTTACAATGGGACAAGCACTTGGTGGGCATACGAGAAATTTCCCATTTGTGGGTATATTTATTTTATCATTAATACTATTATGACATAATTTGAAAATATGATTTAAAAATTATTATTTTGTAATTATTAGATTGGTAGTATACTATAAGAACTTGTTAATTATTCATTCTAATTTATGTCCCAAAATTATATTTTTATTGAGTAGCTATTATGAACTTTGATTGTAGAATATACTTCTGTAGAATGTAACAAAGAATTCAACTCAATCATTTTGAATGGGTTGAAATCCAAACTCAATGTAACTTTCAATTATAGTTTAACTTGTATTTGATTTTCAAACTCATACATACTTATATTTTTGGACTTAATTTGATTTTTTTTTATTCTTATGCTGTGATTGAATGAGAATAGATAAAAAGCTCGTGTGATTGAAGTGAGAGGACAAAGAGGGTTATATTTGTAGAAATGATAAATATGAAGTTGAAAATTTTTTTCGTCCGGAATGCGTATCATGCATGCATCTGTGTGTGGATGATTTAACAAAAAATACTTGTGCAATATGTACTGCACCCACTGTAATTTATTTTTTCTTTTTTCTTTTTTTGGTATGATCGGAGTAAGCAATCAACAACACGTTCATTAGAATTTATATATTGAGGGTGCCAAATAGACAATTACACATTAGGTAAGTGAGAATTAATTAAGATCCCGTAAAGCTAGCTAATGATACATGCATTCACTGCCCTAGACTAAGGCTTAGTTGTATTAGTGATAAGTGATATCATATTCGAATAAGAAGCGTAGGAATAGTAATACATCTAACAATTGTGATACCACATCATTACCTAGTATTTTAATTTTTTTTTATCCAATACCTAGTATTATAATTCAATAATAAAATACCATATGCATTAATGATAACCCGATCTAACACAATCCAATATGCACAACATGTTGTATATTTTGATGTTTGATTGTTGAATTATAATATTATATAGGTGATAAAAGGTAGTAGCCGTGATATATTAAATATATTTACTTAATCCACTACCTAGTTATTGTAATTAATGATTAATTTCCCTAAAAGCAAAACTCTAAAATCTCCAAACTATAACTATAATCTCTATTTTTTCTTTTGTGTGTGTGTGTGTGTGTGAATACTTTACCTGGGCTTAGTGTACTGGACTATTATATATAGTGTTAAATTAAAGTTAGTGGAAAGGAGTAACTTTGTGTGTCAATCTAAAACTGTTAATAGTTTTAGATGTCATCCATAATAAGAGTTTGAGTCCCACATGATGTTTAATGTTCAGTAAAAAATATTTAATTTTTTATTTTATCTAACTTTTATTTTTTATATTTATTTGACTTAGATTTCTTCCTCCACGCCCACCGCCGCCCGGCCCGCGTTAAAGGGAAAGATTAGCAAAGCGGGAAAAGACACAGGAAAGGAGAGCAACATCTTATTCTCTTTGGGAGAACTTACGGATCGAAGAAGTATTCGGAACGAGCTCCAAGTTCATTTAATTGGTAGAAACGACTCAATCCATTCAGGGAACTCAAAAACGAAGTCTTTTAACTTGATTCATAGATAGAATCAATGATAGATAATTTTAAGTTCTTTTGGACTCTTTTATCAGTAATATTTGACTCTTAAATAACAAATTAGGCAATCAAAGAGGAATAGAATTGATCAATAATAAATTTTAATAATAATTAAAAATAAAAATTAATTATTCAACACATAATTTATTATTTAATTTAATCATAAATATAACTTAATTTTTTATTAAAAAATTATTATTTAAATATATTCCCGTGTATGTTACTAGTATTTTAAAGTGCTAGTATTTTAAGCTGCAATTTGCAAACTTTTCGGATATTAAATATCATTTTTCCTTCACATGTTTTCGGATCTTCACCGCCACCAGTATCCTTGTGGAGATCTTGATTTGTTTCTACTGTGCTGCCGAACTGGTGGTCTGAACAGTCGGAATAGTACCCCGCTTCAGCCTTTGATTATTTTCAACCTAACAGTTTCAGTTGTAATACTGCTCTAGACCATGTCCAAGTCAGGAAGTTACATTAGAATTTTCAAGTTCCAATAGCCTTACTCGACTCTAAACCATCACTTGATTGACACTATGGAAAGCATCATAAACCACATAATCACATCACTGGTATTTCTAAACATACAAGGTATCAATTGCAATTAATCAACCCAAGGTTCATAGCTATAAATCATTTTTCGCAAAAGATAGAAAGGCAATTGTTTGCGTATTGTCTAGATATGGGAGAAACAGAACAAATCCAAGGAAACATCGTCACCAAGATAAAAGAATAGTGGGACAAAACAGAAGACCGTGTGGGCACAAAATAAATTTCTGAAATCATATAAAACATATTTCCACACACTGAACCAAGTTTGGAAAGAATGACAGACGAATAAGAAAAGTTACAGGCACCCACCATAGTGTCATCACAATTAGTTTTTTCTTTTGGGTTTTTCCCTCAGGTCTTGGCAGTGTAGCATCTACGAAGTGACCTTGCTCCAGCAATATGTCGTATATCTACGAACCGCAGCAAGCTGATTTTTGGGCAACTTGACCAGCCCCAGCAGCTGGATCGGGTTGATTTATCTTAATTGTCGTGGGCTGCAACCACACAACCAAAGCAGTTTCACCAGTTGAAACACAAAGTGGTCTATTTTATGCAATTATGTTCACATTAGCCCAGGTGATTTACCTCTGCCCTTGTGTCAGTGTCCGCAAGCCTTTGCTTTATATCCCTTCCTATTGAAAAGAACACTTGCTCCACATTGAGATTTGTTTTCGCACTCTGCAGCAAACAGGATCTACTAACATGTATACAGTGACAGATGTTACCAATAATTTGTTAAGCAGAATCCAGCATACTTACAGTTTCAAAGAATTTGATGCCATACTCATCAGCAAGTGCTTGGCCCTTGGAAGTAGGCACAGCCTGCAAAGATTTTAAATAGTAACAGAATGTTCAAATCTGCGGGATTCATGAACAACCTCGGTCATGTTAAGGAGATTTAGGCACAAGCTGCTTAGGATTGAAACTTCAAGCAATTTAAATAAATGAAAATGCTTAATTCAAAAATAATTGGGTCCATCCTTTTCAAAATAAAAATTGGATTCACATACAATAGCATACCCTTTTGCTTTCATCCATGTCAGCCTTGTTCCCTACCAGTATCTTGTTCACATTGTCAGAAGCATGTTGCTCAATGTTGCGAATCCAGTTCCTAATGTCTGAAGACAAACTTTTAGAATTGGTTCAGAAGACAAGAAAACAGTAACCGTCAATCATGACAATTGCTCTAATATAGCAACATAGCAACATAGATTTCAAATTCCCCAGATATTAAAGAAGTTACATAGAAAGTGTGCTTCACTGATGCACAAAAATGTTGGCATAAAACACCAAATGATAGGTTTCAGTGATTCACAAAATCATAAAAATCAATTATTACAAACGAATTAGAAAAGAAATCATAGAAATCCCCATATCAGATGATTTCTTCCTTTTGTGTTTGGGAGGAGGGGGATGGAGGGATAATAACATCAGATGATCCAATTGGTATGGAAGGAAACCTTACTGTTGAAAGACGATTCGTCCGTAACATCGTACACCAACAAGATACCCATGGCTCCACGATAGTAAGCTGGAAAGAAATTTTATTTCAAAAAAAGACGTACAAGTCAATTATTTATACTTGTGCTAAGAGGTGTAGCTGAGAATTTACATAGATGTATGCCATAAAACTTAAAAAGTCAAAGTAACACCATCACAAAATAGAAGCTAACTTTCCACTATTCATGTCACAAAAATCAAACAGATCATAATAGAAGAGCAAGATACTCTTACCAAATACATACTTCTTCAATGCTCTTCAACTTTAATTTTATAATTAGCCAGATGTGTATGAAATTAAAAACATTATGGTCCTTTGCAAGGGTTGTGTGCTTCAACCCAGAAGCACCTTCAAGAGGAAGGATGTAGAAATGAGGGAACTTCAGCCCATTAGATTTTCCTTCATTGGTGATATACAAGCAACCACAAAAACAGAAGGTAGACTCCACAGAAAATACAAATGATGTATAGAAAATTTAAAATAAACAACTAGTGTCCAAAACTTACCGGTTGTGATCGTACGGAACCGTTCCTGACCAGCTGTATCCCAGATTTGGAGTTTGATTCGTTTGCCATCAAGTTCAATGGTTCTGATTTTAAAATCAATTCTGCACAATATATTGTGAACAAGGAAGGTCAGAAGCAATCGCCAGAAAAACTACAACTGAGTGGTACAATGACCCGTATACTCACCCAATGGTGGTAATGAAACTTGTGGTGAAGGAACCATCAGAGAAACGCAGAAGAAGGCAACTCTTACCCACACCTGAAAGATTAAATAACAAGAAGTTAAGACAATCCGTAAGCAATATTTAATCGTATTTTTTCAGTTCATGACCACAATGTAGTCATGTGACACAATCTTGCAAGATGAATAAGAAGTAGAACTTGCCGATGGAGACAACAGAAATATTGAATGCCAATCGTGGACACAAACTCGGTGGAAGTGTACATTATACATAACCATCAAGCACTAAGTATTGAATGATATGCTTGCATCAAACATATAGTAGATTTCCAAACTAGAAACCCCATAGAGCATAGGCAGAAATACAGTGGCATCTCCTATAATGAGTATAACATAGCCCAGAAGAAGAAATAGAAATTTTACACCTTCTCGGCCATATAGAGTAACATGAATAACGCATGAAAATAAGACATGGGCATTTTCTCCAGAAAATCTATATGCAAAGGCAAGTCTAATCCTACCCTAATGGTTTTTTCTTAAAGTCGATTTCAGTAAAATGATTAGACCTAAAAATAAAACAGAAAAGGAGCACAAGGCAAATTGGAGATGTAGTTTTCCATGCAAATGAATGTACACCACCCGGAACTGCCAGAACAACACTGCAACACAGGACAAGAAGTTTTATTGGTCCAGTAGGATGATGCCTACACTTTTTCTTTCCGGCACAAAGGACGATCCTAATATTTCACAACGTGAATTCCAAATATATATTTCCAACATAAATAGCTCAAAAATTAGGTCAACAGAATTTTAATCAAGCTAGATCCGTACAAAACTTAACTATTTCAAGCATTGAGTTCAGACAAGAAGCTTTTAAAAGTCGAATTTAAACGCTCGATCGACATAAAGGCACGCAAAAACATCGGTGACCACATTGAAAGCTGTAAATTTTCGAAACTGGCAAAAAGGACTTACCACTGTCGCCGATCAGGAGGAGCTTTATGAGGTAATCGTAGTCCGCTCGAGCCCTTCCCTGTGGAGCGGCCATTGAACAATCTACCCAGCAAAAAAACCCTAAAATTTATATCTGTATCTGCTTCTCTGTCAAGAGAGGGATGTTGATTTGAATAAACAACAGATCATAAACATAGAGACAGAAAATGCAGAGGGAGATCGGCCATGGAAGATAGATTTTTAAGAGAGAGAGAGTTTTGATACAATTACCCGTAGAATGTAAAGCTTGATCGGTTCACCGTCCGACCAATAACGATGATGGCTACTATGCGCACCTTCACAGTTCTCCTAATTTTCACCTTTTTCAGCGTGCGCCGATCTCTCCCGTGCGCACTTTAGCAAATCGATAACAGAAACCGAGAGAAAGAGAGAGAGAGAGAGAGAGAGCGAGCGCCTGGGCTTAGTTCTTTCTTCCACACTCCGCGTGAGAAGGAAAATTCAGGTGCGCTTAAGCTCACCGTACTGCCAAACTTCATGCCACATGCCATCCGTTGATTGCTAGTGGGTTTCATAAATAAGCCTTTCCTTTTTTTTATCAATATTTATATAATAAAGTAGAGTTGAGTTTGATTTTTAGAAAGAAAGAAAGGTTCAAATTGTTTTGAGACAAAACATAAATACATCTAATGGACAACGTAATCCCAACATAAAAAGCGATTCAGATCATCTCATAAATAATGATCCGACGATCATAAAACTCTAACATTCCTATCTCTCATGTAACTCTCTCTCTTATCTTTTAGACGTTTTAAACGCACTATCTCATCTGTTCTCTCTCTATATATCTATATAATAAAGTAATTAAATTTTTTTATTTTTTATTTTTTGCGGCTCTGATATTTTGATAATTATTAATCCAACGATCATAATTAATTCATAAATTTCTAAATACCTTTCATTCTAGAACTCTAAAGATGTCTGCCTCTCACTCTCTATGTCTCATTTCAAGACTCTTTGAAGAAGACGTTTCTCCCTCTCTACATCGCTGCCATCCACCACCGTCTGAAGAGGTTGGATTTTCTTACTCTCTCTCTCTAACTATCTATAACAATGGAAAACAACTAAAGACAATTCAAGATACTAGGTTCTATGGTAAAATTTATACTACTTTTCCATTCTGAAAGATGATCTTTGTTTGAAGAATATTTGTGTACGAGTAAGTGTTATTTGGATATCGCTGGAAGACATGCTGACGAATTCAATCTTTCTAATTGTAGAAAAAGTTGCCTCCCTCAATTTACAAAATAGGTTGCCAGCAGGCCATAAAGAATATATGGGTGGAGATGGGAAAGTCACAAGTGTTCAGAAAGGTAAAACTGATGGAAAGTCTAAGGGATTAATTGACTTAGATTTGCTATTTTTCTATTGAAGTGTTTTACATTCTTGCTATCCTAAATTGCACAATGTGTGTTGATTAATTTTAGATAGTTATCCTTGCTTTTAATCCTTTTCAATTTGATCTCATCAACTTCGATGCTTAAACCATTTTTGCTATTGTGCTTACATTGTGAATAATGTGGTTTATTGCCTACATTTCTTGGAAAATAAAGTTGCATTTCCAGGGAATGTGTTACGATGGCTTCACGAATTTGGTTCAATATTTGATGTTGTATGAATTGTACAGTCCTTTTTTCTCCTTATACTGTTCACTTGATGCAGGTTCAACATGTTGATGAGAGATGAATTGTATGAACAATAATTTTTGGCCTCTTTTGTTTTCTTGCAAAAACTATTTTAAAGGGTTTCTTTTTATTTGTTGCTTCATAGCAGGAATTTTCTCTTGAGCATAATATGCTCTTTGTATTTTTACTCATTTTTTGGTACAAATTCATACTTCATAATATTATTTTTATTTATTTATTTGTGACAAGCTGACAAATTTTGAGACGTTGTCGGCCTTTGAATTCCTAAATGTTGTGTTATTAGGCTGCATTTTTCTCTTTGAAAGAGAGAAAGGTGGAAGTCGTGTGTTTTTATTCATTTTTCTTTTAACTCATATGTTTTTTATTGAATAATGTGTTATTTTTTTAGCGAGTTGAAATTTTAGTAATTGAGTTTACATTTAAGTTGTATTATTGAGTTAAATGGTGATAGTGGTGATAAATTACATGTGATGTTGTTTTGAGATATTTGTATATGTGATGTTATTTTGGTGATTTTTTTGAACATTTTTATGATAATTCCATTAATATAGAGGATACGGTCGATAATATATTTTAAGTCATTTTAAAAGAAAAATTAGTATGAAAGTTTTTTAGTCATTCTTTTTAAATCTAGGCAACTGTTTATAATTTTTTTTGTGTTATATAGTGTTTTCAGGCACGAGTAATGACTAGTTTTTCAATATCATTGCTCCTTGATCAACTTTAATTAAATTATGTATGAAAAATATATAATACATTTACAAATGTGATATTCAGTTATGAAATTAAAATTAAAAAACTCCATTCAATTTAAAAAAGACTAATACTTATTATTTCAATTACACACTTATCAGAGTACGACTATGCTTGTAAATTTACTTACATTAGTTTGTCCCATTTTTATGAAATCGAAAAATTCAAATTCGAGGTTTGTGGTTTTACAATTTTTTCCTTATGCAATATTAAATCAATCTATGTTTGTTTTTTAAATTAAATAAACTTGTAAATCATAGACCTTTTATTAATAAGAAGATGTGCTTATATGAAATAGATTTAACTTGTTTAATGACATGTTAGTCACTACAACAACTGCAAAAAATTTGAGGAAATTTAACTCCCGAAATTATTTAAATTTATTTACACGCAACTTGACTAGATTCAATCAAAGACAAGTATATGGATACAAATTGGATCTGGTACAACTATCAGATGGTATGAAAACAAGAACAAGGTTGTCTGTACCATTCAATTATAACCATTAGATCATGATTGGTTGATCAGAAATTATTATTCGAAATAGATCTTTTGGTTTTTTGGCAAATTTATGATTAACGTTAGTGTGAGATTATAAATTGTGACACTTGGCACAGTTTTAATAATTTGACGATTTTTTGAGAACATATAAGAGGACCTATGGGTCCTAGTATGGTTAGTTTGGAAAAAGGTGTTTATCCTATCCTATGAGTAGGAGATATAATTTTTTGTCTTCTACATGACACTTTGTAGAATAATTTTTTCTTAATCTATCTTACCCGATCAAGTATGGTATTTTTACCCGACTTCCTACCCGATTAATCGGATAGGAAGTCGGATAAATACTTTTGTAGCTATTAATTTTTAGATCATTTTAACAATACAATTAAACAACATGCACCAATTTAACAACACAATAAATGAATAACACTAAAATTTAAAACAACTACAACAACAATTATAATAAAACATAAGAAAGCATGAACATCAATTCATCATAATTGTTACACAAATACAATAACAATTATTTTACGTTTAAACCATATGAAACACATTAAAATCATAACTGCTTCAATGGATTACCAGTTCACCATAAATCATGTAACCTATATAAAAAACAAGTCCATGTTTTTGCAATTCAAACATGTACAACAACAACAATATTATAATATAAACTATACCACACAAATACTCTTATAATTACTAAAAAAATATAAAAAAGTTAAATATATTTTTTATGGGTAGAGTAAGGTACGAATGCAAAAATTGATGGGTATTCTGTATTCCTACCCGATTTAATCGAAAGACCAAAAACTCTTGCGCATTCCTAGCCCATTTTTACGGCTAGTCGTTAGTAAGGTAGAATAGGAAATTACGGTCAATCAAAAATTTGAACACCCCTAAGTTTAAGGAACACAAGAGGGTTTTGATCAGGCTTTTCTGGTTGAGGTTGATTATGGAGTAAATTATACATATAATCTTTAAATTATAGTCTTTGTGTTAATTAAATTTTGAATTTTATTTGTGTTAATTAAATTTTTAAACTCTCTAATTGTGTCAATTGAACTATTTTGTCTGCCTTCATTAAATTTTCTAACAAAAAGTGACGAAGTGTGTCAGTCACGTAACACAAATGAGTTGAAGCAAACTACACATATGACTTTCAAATTATGATTCTTATGTCAATTAGGCTCCTAAATTTTATTTTATTTTTTGTCAATTGAACTCTTAAACTCTCTAACTATATCAATTAAACTCTTATTTCTTTTTATGTCATATAGTCACGTGAGTAACACATTCTAACAGAGACAGATATAATAGCTCAATTGACACAAAAAAAGAGTTCAAAGACTTAATTGACACAAGGATCATAATTTAAGGGTCATATGTATAGTTTACTCTTAATAGTTTCTTTAATCCTTCAATTTGAAACTAATTGCATTTTGACCCATTATAATTAAAATCCCCCAATTATTCCTTTAATTTGCAAATTTGTTTAGGTACTCTCTTACCAAATGAAAAACAAAAGAAGGATTATTGTATTTCACTAACAACCTTGAGGATGTGAGATCGATTCTTCGACAGTAACTTTGTGCAAAAAAATGTATCCCTACCACTTTTATGCTTATTGATAATTTAAATCAATTGGTAATTTTGAGAACACCATTTTTATCTTTAAGAACTTCAACGGGATTAAAATTATTTTTAGTATTTATACTGGTAGAGTGAACAATAAATGTAGCAGTTGAAGCTTTATTAGTTGAAGATTTATCAATACTTTGACTAACTCACAAACATTTATTCTTGATCTTATAGATAAAATTCAAGATTCAAATTCTAAAAGAAAAGAAAAGTTATTGAATAATATTTAGAGATAAATTCAGAAGAAAAGAGACCTAATTTATCTCAACCATATTCTTTAAAAGAAGTTATTAATAGAACCGAAAGTGAAATGATTGAAAATACATGTCATAAAAAGGAGATTTTGCCTACTACGGTCTAAGACTTAAAGAAAGAAGTTCATAATGTCAAAGAAGAAATAAAAGTCATAAAGGATAGACTTTTAACTTTAGAAAAATTGTCCCTTAAATAAAGTGACATTAAGGATGATAAAGCATCCCCATAATCATCATCTAAT